AAGCAGCCTCAGTGGCCATTTCTACCGACTCAGTGAACTGGACCTGGGGCTTCCGGTCCGGGAAGGATACTGCAGCTGCTCCAGGGCCTGGTGGTTGATGGTGCTCATGCTGTTGTAGATAAGGCAGCTGCTCAGAAGCACAGCCAGGGCGAAGGTCCACGAGTCGCTCTTTGAGTCACCCTAGAAAGCAGTGGGGAGTCCACACCTCAGTCTCTCATTGACTTGCTCATTTTCTATGTCAGCTGTCCCATAACTCAACAGGACGGCAAATGACATAAACTTCAAAACAATGCTAAATCCAAACCTTTCCCGTGATGACGTGTTGCGCTCTCAGGGCCGCAGTCGCATTAGCTTTTGGCAGAACAGAATGACATTGTGAATTTGTGTCACGTGTTTAATACACTGCCTGGCACATAGAAGCTAAGCAATAAGGTGTGAATGATGCTTTTGCAAACTTCTCTTGATTATAAGCTGTATTAAGGACACAAATGCCACTTAACTAAATTCATCAACTGTTCATTGTCTGTCTAGAAAACACCAGATACTGCATTTGCTTCTGTGGCTATAAAGCTCTACAGGACAGTCCCTAGCACCAGTGACATGGCTTTCTAGAGGGGCAGATACATGTGCAACCATATAAATGCATCCAAGATGATAAACTGCCTGGAGTGGATCCACATGTTCTCATCTGAAGGACACAGACACAATGCAAGAAAAGAAAAGAAAAAAAGAAAAGAAAAGAAAAGAAAAGAAAAGAAAAGAAAAGAAAAGAAAAGAAAAGAAAGGAAAAGACAAGTTCCCCAAATTCACAGCCAGAAGTCGTTATGTCTGTCAGGGATGTGATGGCATTCAGCTGAAAATAGCTGGGCTTTAAAGGACTAACAGGATGTCAGTTTGTGGAGAGAAAGGGCCGGTGCAGATGAAGGACCAAGAGAAGTGAATCAGTACTGCCAGCAACTGTGGTCCCACAGAGGATTCACCGGGCTATTTTATTTGACTGAAGTGGCACTCATGGTGGTGCTAGGAGATGGTGAGGCTGAAACCAAGATGAGGGCAAGTCCTAAGAGGCCATGTAAGGGAGTCAGGTACTATCATGACAGGTAGTAAGGGCAGCCAGTGTTCCTCTGCTATCACTTTACGATTTGCTATGTTCTGGTTACTTGACAAATGCAATGAGGTAAGAAGTGGGTTGTGCAAACTATGGACTATTAGGAACTGTCGATCATCTTCGGTTGACATGGAGGTGATTGTTGAATACTTTAAACATGAATGTTTAAATTCAGAATGTCTGAATTCATACTACAGCTCTTTTCTGAAGTAATGAAAGCCAAAGATTCACGGCTACTATTTTTCACATAGACTCAGACTAAGAAAAAGGGGAAAAGATGACTGCAAGCAGCACTATAAACCCAAACTATCTACAATTACCCCATGTCAAGTGCTTTTGGGGGACCGAGCACACTGTTTACAGACGTCACTGAGGAATCCCTCTCCAAAGCCCAGACACTTGGACTAAAATCTTCACGAATGACCTTGATGTGGCTGAAACTTTTCTGGAGATAATTGAAATAGCGTATTTCACTGAAACCCTATTTTCCTGATTGCTGCCTCTAACCCCATTAACCGCACACACCTTGACCTTTAGAATTCCTTAATTGCATGGGCTACACCTTCCACCAGGCCGTGTACCCAAACCTGAGCAGCAGGGGTAGGTTCTCACTTTCCGTACCCATGGTTCCCTGTGCTGATAACTGTATATTTCTTATCTCCCTAATGAAGCCCTGGGCCCAGACCTCACTCACGGCGATGTCTGTGGCACTGAACACAAAGCCCTGGAATTCTGATGCCCATTAAGTCTTTGGTAACGTGGATCTATCACCCCAGTGTGAAAAGTAAGATCTCTCACTAATACTCAAAGTATCTAATTTATTAACAAATAAATTCAAGGAAGGAGAATTTAGCCTAGGAATGTGTCATCAAATTTGAGTTGAGATGGGAAATTAACACATAAGTAGAAGGGGAAGGTAGAGCTCAGTGGTAGAGTATGTGCTTAGCATGCAGCGGGGCCTGGGGTCGAGATCCCTAGTACCTCCGTTCAAAGGGAAAAAAACTAAACGCCTCCCTCCAAAAATTAAAATTAAAATAAGTTAAAATGTAAGTGGACTATCAAGAGCAAGGAAGATTTTCTGCTTTACCTTTTCCACATCACCCAGGCCCTCGGTGTCCAGAAGGACCAGGGTGTGGCTCTCCTTGGAGGGGTGGGGCACACACCACATCCAGATGCCCTTCGTTTCAGACCTCACCGTGGAGCCCAGAGAGAAACCTGCAAAGGAAGAGAAGAAAGAAGCACGCAGTGACAGCAGATGGTCCAGGATGTGCTCGGCTTACCTTGGCTACCCTTGTCTGCACGTGAGAGCCTGTCTGAAAGGAAGGTTCTTCCAATTCATGAAGAATAGCAAATCCTACCTCTGTACCTCTTCAGAACCATCTCAAGAAACACTCTCTGTCACCTATTCACCTCCTACCATTATCGGCTCAAACTGTGTCACATTCTAGGATTAATGTAAACTCTATTAACCCTTCTATTTTTATCTGATACTGAAGAGCTCCCTTCCTGCACTTTCTGATGCAGATGAACCAGTGAGAAGTAGCAACAGGAGACCAGAAGTCAGGCATGTGTGACCTAAGCTTCCACTCGGGTGACCCACAGCGTCCCAGCGCCTCTGCTCCTGTATCTTGGTTACATATCCTTTGATTTAGTACCACGAAGTAGTTCTGGACCGTGGCACGTTATGGAATCCACTCACTGCCTGTCCCCTCAGGCTGCAGGAGTTACAATGGCTGCCTGGCTGTTGCTCTTGCCACTCCCTGGGCGCCTCCACCTTCTTCACTGGTTCACTCTGCCCTGCTGGTGCTCATGTAGCTGTCCCACCAGTGAGCATCCTCAGTTTCCCTGTAAGTGGATCATTGGTGCCCTTCCAGCACCTGGACCAGTATGCAAGCTTTGCTAGATTTTTTCTTCCCCTTTCTCCTTGGATTTTCCTCCTTTCTGCTCTCCTCCTCTAAAGTGGTGAGTTATTTGTTCATTGACTCAAGATATAACAGAAGGGAAAGCAGAAGAGACCTGTCACATTTTCTCTTTCCTTTTACAAAGGCTTAAACCCACAGGGGGAGATGCAAAGTGTATGCCTGAGAAGCTGCAGGTAATATATCTTGTCCAAGATTTATGGCATCTGTCACATGCCAACGCCACCTTCACCTGAGAACAGAAATGGATGTGATGACACACAGAGGGCAGCGCAATTCCGCTTGGCTCAGGCCCTTCAGTTTCCACATGTGGTGTGCTCTGCACGGAGGGGCTATAACACCTGAGATGATATGCACTGTTCCACATCATAATAGTACTTGACTGCTTGCTGATTAATGCAGAGCAATCTGACCTTCCCCAGGAGAAAAGATAAAGTGTATCTGGTGCTCATCACTGTCAGTAAGACAGGAAAGGACCAGATGGAAGTCATCGCAAGGAGACAGTGGTGACCTGGTTATGCTCACCCTCTTTGATTGGGCACAATGTGTGTGTGTGTGTGTGTGTGTTGCTCTTCCTGTGATACGACTGGTGTGGTGGGTCACAGTTCAGGTGTTTTAAAACAAAACTAGTGTAGGGATTTCCTCCAGTAAGGGAAATCACTTCCTTATTGCTTGATATTATCTCGAGTAGTTTAAAGAAGGACATTGTTGAAACTCCTTGACTGGTATCTTTTCTCAAATCTTGAATCCCTCAAAAAAAAAAAACACAATTATGTTCAGCCTGGCAAGGAAAACTCCTTGATTTATGGTCAAGAGTTCCTCTAAAGCAAAGAGAAGTATTCTGTGTTTTCTTTGAAACCAATGAGAGATTGCAAGGCAAGAAGGAGAGAAAAGAAAGGAAAAAAATAAGAGAGTGAGAGAGAAATACAGAGAGAGTCTGAGACAGGCAATGAGACATTCCTGAGATCCTTCAAGTTTAGTGAACTGACGTCCTACCACCTAATCCTGTGAGCCACTGAGC